ATTGGTCAGTTCCTTTTCTCTCTCTCTCTCTCTCTCTCTCTCTCTCTATATATATATATATATATATATATATATATATATATATATATATATATATATATATATATATATATATATGAAGAAATATACTCTTAAGGTGTGCTATATTTATGGGATAAAGTGCTCAACATCAGAGATAGAGCGTGTGTAAAATATATATATATATATATATATATATATATATATATGAAGAAATATACTCTTAAGGTGTGCTATATTTATGGGATAAAGTGCTCAATATCAGAAATAGAGCGTGTGTAATATATATATATATATATATATATATATATATGAAGAAATATACTCTTAAGGTGTGCTATATTTATGGGATAAAGTGCTCAATATCAGAGATAGAGTGTGTATATATATATATATATATATATATATATATATATATATATATATATATATATATATATATATATCGTCATCCACAGACAGATTGTTTCGCAGCTCCTAAGTGTGGCTAAACATTCGATCGCTTCAAGACTTGGTATTTGTCAGAGATTCTAGCCCCTAGGCTATCGATCCCAGCGGAGAGAAATGCGAATTTTTGCGTATTTATTTTTTCATAAACACGCCTTGTAACCTAGAAAGACTACTCTCCACAAGCCGCTCCATACAGAGCATTGGAACCCGATTCAAGCGATGTTATACAAGTGATACCGTTTGTTCAGTTAGTATGACGTTTCCCTGCTATCGTAACTGTTCGGGTTTCAATTCTCGGTAGTGGATGCGCACTGCTGACGAGTCCCAAATATAGGACGAAACGGCCGTCCAGTGCTTTCTGCATTCTTCTAGACTCGAGGAATTAATTAATTATAATTCTCTCAAATCCTCCTAATAATTTCTATCACTTGTATATCCTTGCTTGAACCGGCTTCTAATGCCCTGGGGTGAGCGGCTTGGGGATAATAGTGGTGGCTCCAGGGGACACAGTCCTACGGGTAGAGAAACTTGGATGAGTTCCACTTGGGAATATGTTACTCCTTCATCACCAAGGCCCGTTGGTACAGCTTGTATAGCGTTTGCCTCCTATTGTAACTGTTCGGGTTTCAATTCCCGGTAGTGGGTGTGCACTACTGATGAGTTCCAAATATAGGACGAAATGGCCGTCCAGTGCTTTCTGCATTCTGTTGAGGTTTCTTCTAGATTCGATGAATTACTTAATTATAATATATATATATATATATATATAAAATAAAACTCACGTTCTCCTACTCCCCAACCACTACTTGATCTTAAGCGATCATGGGAGGAACTTTTTTTCGAACAGCCTGTCTGAGAAGAAATATATGTACAGATCGACAATCCCACACCTGAACACCGAAAAACCTCTGAAAACCGAATATTTTTAGTGTGGAGTTTGGTGCGCAAAAACTACTACTTAACCAACGCCACTTATGTATGACGTGTAACAAGTGTCATGATCTGACCAACTCCACCCACGACTGTATGAGCGACCTGAGCCCGCCAAATGTCAGGTGATGTCTAGGGTAGACATGAATGTGCTGTACGCTGATCCTTTTTTTTTTTTTTCGTAATTTTTGTGACTTTATACAGTGAAAATGGATAACAGCGAGAAAAAGAAAAGGAATCATATAAATACAAAACGAAGAGCTTTTGCAGAAGCTTGATCACGGTGTTTTTGTGAGGCGTCTGATTGAGGAATATGGCGTCGGAACAACCATTGCTTATGATTTAAAGAAACAGAAAGACAAGTTTCGTCAATTTTATAGTGAAAGTGATGACCATAGACTAATGAATAGGAAAACACGATATACGGCCAAAAGATCTTGACGGTGCGCTAATTAAATGGATTCAACAACGAAGACCTGAACGTATGCAATCAACAGGTCTTTTTGTCATAAAACACGTTAGAATATACCATGAAAACTTAACATTGAAGACGCGTGTCAATATGAAAATGTCTGGCTGCACAAAATTTCAGAAATGACAGAGAGATACGAGAGCTCAACATATATTTTTAGTTTATCATTTGATGCTATCCATTTTTAAGATAGACAAGGCATATTTTGGAGTCTGTCTATATTTCTGAGATGAGGTATTATGTACAGTATTTACATTAGTCGGACTATTGTGCTCATCTTTGTCGCCATATTTGTCACAACGTTTAGGCCCTTGTACACTCCATACCCAGATGTCCTCAAGGACACATGGCACAGTGGATAAAGGCGTTGGTTAGATCCAGTGACAGACCCAAAGAGTGTGAGTTCAATACCCGGTTAAGACAGTGGAAAACTTTCAAAGGGAAAATTAGCAGGAGATAACTGATAACTGACATCCATCAAACATGTGGAACTAGAACAGTCTACCCCAGTGATCGAAATAAAGGGTTCAGTTCGAAATTCCAACCCCCTGAAGAAGACCAGAGCGTACAACGGCCGAAACGTTGTGACAAATATGGCGACAAAGATGAGGACAATAGTCCGAATAATATAAATAGTTTATATAATACCTCATCTCAGAAATATAGACAGATACTGAAAGGCCGAAACGTTGTAATAAATATGGCGACAAAGATGAGGACAATAGTCCGAATAATGTAAATAGTGGACATAATACGTCATCTCAGAAATATAGACAGATACTGAAAGGCCGAAACGTTGTAATAAATATGGCGACAAAGATGAGGACAATAGTCCGAATAATATAAATAGTTTATATAATACCTCATCTCAGAAATATAGACAGATACTGAAAGGCCGAAACGTTGTAATAAATATGGCGACAAAGATGAGGACAATAGTCCGAATAATGTAAATAGTGGACATAATACGTCATCTCAGAAATATAGACAGATACTGAAAGGCCGAAACGTTGTAATAAATATGGCGACAAAGATGAGGACAATAGTTCGACTAATGTAAATACTGTACAAGGCATATTTTATCTGAAATATATAAAATGTATTTATTACTTATGGTGTTAATTATTCTTCTATTTCATTTATCAGTAGATTAGTCTATGAATAAATCTTAATCATATTCGTAGCCATTTTTTTTATCCCTCGTTGTGTGAGTATTTATTCGTTTTTGATGCAATAGCGTTTGAATTTCTGGAATCCGAAAAAATCAGAAAATCGAAATATAACTAGCTCCAAAGATTTCGGATAAGGGATTGTGTACCTGAACGATCTAAAGAAATAAAAAAATGTATGTGCGGGAGAGAGAGAAAGACGGAAAAAGAGAGAGAAAGAGAGAAATAGAAAGAGAGAAAGAAAGAGAGAGAGAGATGGAAAAGAATGAGATAGAGAAAGAGATAGAGAAAGTGAAGAAGAGAGAAAGAAATACAGAGAAATAGATATATATATATATATAGAGAGAGAGAAATAGAGAGATAGATATATATAGAGAGAAATAGAGGGAGAGATGGAGTGAGAGAATGAAGGAGAGACAGAAAGAAAAAGAGAGAGCGATAGAGAGAAATAGAGAAAAAGAGAGAGAGAGGGAGAGAAATAAAGAGAGATAGAAAGAGAGAGAGAGAGAAAGAAAGGAAGATAAAGAAAGAGACAGAAAGAGAAAAGAGGAAGAGAGAGAGAAATAGAGAGAAATAGAAAGAGAGAAATAGAAAGAGACAGAAAGAAAGAAAGAAAGAAAGAAAGAAAGAAAGAAAGAAAGAAAGAGAAAGAAAAAACAGAAAGAGAAAGAGAGAAAGAGAGAGAAAAAGAGAGAGAGAATTAAAGAGAGACACACAGATCTATCCTTCGTGGTATCGACTGGCACCAATGGACAACAGGTAATCGAAGCAAACAGCAGAACTAAAGTTAAAGAATAGAAGCTGTCTCTTAAAACCGGATCTTCCTTCAGGTTGGTAGACCTTCTCCTGCAGCCGAACATGCTTCTTCCATGTAGGCCACGTCAGTTCTCAGGGCATATTCGACCGTTCCTGGAATGCCCTCTAGATCTTAGTTCGCAGAGTCCGTCCACGACGATGTTGATATTCAGTAACTTAGTCTGGTACAAGGCTATGGAAAGTTGAGCACTCACTAAGTATAATCAAATACATACATTGATTCACACAGAGATGCATTTAATACGAACCTTCACACGCACACATTCCATCACATGCACACTCACGCACACATAAATAGATCCCCAACCACGTTCTATTTTCAAAATTCGGCGCATTCTCAAAGCCATAATTCGTTTTCCCGCCACAGCCCATTGTAGCAGTCGTTACACCCAGCACTCACCACAAGTGTTTGTCCGTCGCTCCCTTCCTCCCTCCCTCTCTCTTTCTCTCTCTCTCTCTATCTCTCTCTTTTTCGCTACACATCTCTCCACTGATCTCTTCTTTCTCTCTCGACAAAAATTAACCTCTTCCCACCACTCTCACCGCTACGTAACTCACCCTCTTTTTCTCTCTTTCCTTCCCCCCTCTTACGCTCCCCCTAACCAAACTACTACTTCTTTTCCCTACCCGACTTAAACGATCTTGCCCGACCCTTCCGAACTCAACCCGGCTTATGTTACCGATCACTCCAAGACCAACACTTTCTGAATGGTAATCATGTCGACTGCCCCAATATCTGAGGCGCTGGCCACGTCAAAATACGCCTAACAACTCCCAGCCATTCCACCTTTGTCCGCCGCTCTAGCATCTCACATTAATCACGTCCGACCGCCACTGACGCCGACGCCGAACACCGGCAGTTCAACCCTTCCAACCTCGCCAGCCAAACGACCTACACCACCAACACCCGCCAAACACTGGTATAGACGACCGTATACTGTCCCTGACGTAACTCCAGCGTCATGATCGGATAATGGTGATGCGAAAGTTTGGAGTTTGGGCGGAGGTTTTCTGCGGTCGGAGGATACCAAGAAAGTAGATTAGGATTCTAGCATAAGCCGAACCACATTTGTCTCCCCTTCTGCCACCGCCATTAGTGTGCTCCTGCTACTGGGGCCTTGGTCGCCATCTTGGGAGCAGTTGAAATGCCCTTGGCGACTGGCCACTCTTTCCTGTCCCCCTCCCCCCACTTGTGAGCAAAGTCAGTGCCATTTTTGTTTTAGAGTTTTCTTTTTGGCTTTTATTTATTTATTTTTTATGCGTTCTCAAAATTATTGGAGATCCATTTGGAATGTTTTTTGTTCATTTTGATATTTTTGTTAACTTATTTTACAGTTTTTTTTTACAGGAGTTATTTTAGAAATATAATGAATATTACATTCAACATTTTATTAACTTGAATATTCAGTTTTATTTAAGTTTCTTTTTATTCTATCTATCTATCTATCTATCTATCTATCTATCTATCTATCTATCTATCTATCTATCTAAATCAGTTTATCTAACTCACTCTGCATTCTTATTTCATTCTCTCACTCTAACTGTCTGTCTATCTATCTTCCTCATTCTGCACACCTATCGCATTCACTGTAAGTTCATATCTATCAGGATGTCTTATTTTCACACTGTCTGTCTCTCCACACACACACACACACACATATATATATATATATATATATATATATACAAGATCTTGTTCAGAGCTGTTTCATTCTGTCCATTATCTGTTGATCTGTCTGTTCATTATCTCACTATATCACGAAACAAAAGAAAGTAAAAGTAATGTATTCCCTGACTTACTGAATAATTAGTTATTCCATTTTTATGGTAACACGAGGCGTGTTCATTTATTGGCGTCGAGTTATTTCTCCTTTACCCTGAGAAGAATATTTCATTGCCAAGGATGAGTGAGAGATGACGCTATATAAGCGAAAACTGTATAATTTACACACACACGCGTACACACATGCACACACACATACATATATATATATAAAGAAATATACTCTTAAGATGTGCTATATTTATGGGATAAAGTGCTCAATATCAAAGATAGAACGTGTGTAAATATAAAAGTGAACATTGAAGTTAACACTTAGAGGCGACATGCTGTTCCATGATAGGTGGCCTGATTGCGTCTAGCATGAAACAGACTGTCGCTTCTAAGTGTTGACTTCAATGTTCACTATATATATATATATATATATATATATATAACACTAATAATCTTATAAATATAAGCAGCTATACTCGTCCGGCAAAACCTTAGGTGTTTTAGTTTGTAAATGAACAAATCAATACCCAAGGGAAAAAAAGGGGGAAAAAAGAAAGAACTAAGAATATGTACTTCCGTCAAAAATAATCGTCTAGAATCTAAGTTCAGAGTCCAAAAAAACCTCCGATACGAGTAAAGTAAAATAATTAATCAAAGTGCTCAATACGCTAAGTAGAGCAAAGTAAACCTGAAGAGCCAGAAAAACTTACCTAGATTTCATCTACGCGGATCGTCTGGGCAGACTGGCTCTGTCCTGACGATCCACGTAAATGAAACCTAAAAGGTTTTGTCTGGCTCTTTAAACTTTGTTATATATATATATATATATATATATATATATATATATATATATATATATATATATATATATATATATATATATATATATATATATATATATAAGTTTTGGGTCAAATGTAGATCAAATATGGTTCGAATTTGAGAGAAACATATGATAAAGAACTAATAGGAAACGTTTATCAATCTAACATATTTCATCTTTTATTAAAGCTTCATCAGAGATATGGCGAAGAAGAATAAAGAAATTCTGTTATTTTTAATTTGTGTTGTTTGATTTCCATTTGTCAGTCATGTATCACATGCTTTCGACTCTCTTAGACCAATGTTCGTATAATCTGTAGCGTTCAAGGAGAGACGACACGTCCTTTCGAAGTTCCAAGATATCAATGCATTCCAAGCCTGCCTAAATGTGCGTGTGCATATATGCATGTCTAGTAAACATTATGTTTGTTGGTTTTTCGCGTGTTGATTTGGGAATGTTTTTACGTACATACCATTTGTTTTTACGTACATACCATTTGTTTTAGAAAAGCAAACGTTAGATTCTTTAAGAATGATTTCAATAAAGGTTAAATAATGTTTTTGACGTATATACTGATCCGAACTATTTACATTATTCGGACAATTGTCCTCATCTTTGTCGCCATTTTTATTACAACATTTCGGCCGTTGTACGCTCCGGACTTCTTCAGGTGGTTGGAATGTCGAACTGAACCCTTTATTTCGCTCACTGGGGTAGACTCTTCTGGTTCAACGTGCCATGTTTAATGGATGTCAGTTATTAGTTATTTCCTGTTAATTCCCCTCTGAAAGTTCTCCATTGCCTTAACCGGGTATTGAACTCACTATCTTTGGGTCTGTCACTAGATCTAACTAACGCTTTTATCCACTGTGCCATGTGTCCTTGAGGATCCGCATATTCAACCGAAGATTCGTTCATTTCTTTTATAGTCCTCTACTCCTGCTATTTACCTTGAGCTCCTTGATAAAATTTAAAAAAAGGATCAGCAATATTATTGGTCCTGATCTGGCATCTCGGCTTCAGTCACTTTCCCATCGCCGTAATGTAGCTTCTCTGAGTCTGTTCTACAAATACTTTCATGGTAATTGTTCCGGTGAGATCTTCGCTATGGTATCTCGACTGATTGAATTTAAGCTCAGTATTAGACTGGTGGCGAGATATCATCAATGTGCAGTTGAGCTAGCTCGATATAGCTGTAAGGTTTTTAGCAGTTTCTTTTCTGGCATTTCTAGCTTGTGTGACTTCCTTCCAGCTCAGTGTTTTCCAGCCAACTTTAATCTGCAAATATTTAAATGTAATGTCAATCGCTATCTACGGTCTTCCTGATTTCTCTTATCTCTTTCTGCTCATTATTAATGATATCTAAGTCTTCCACTTGTGACTTAGTGGCTTTACTGCCTTGCATGGGGTGATACTGATTTTTAAAAAAAAAGTCGTTTCAAGATGTAGGCGAACATGCCCCTCAACAGCTTCTTTTTTTATATCTGAGAACTGTTATGATACTTGGAAAAGACAGTGGAGTGATCTGTTGGCTTCTCCACTGTTTTAAATTAAGGGTAATTCTTCTAATAGACTGGTTACCAAAAAGGTATCCTGCTATTTAGCTTATATCTGCGATTTCTGTGAAAAGGTGGAATATGAACTCGGCTCGTCGATTTCCTTCTATTAACTGCACATCCAAATTTTTTCTCATCCTGGGTATGACGATAAACTACATCTGGCAGCAAAACTTTTAATCGGGAGACTAGAGATTTTGAGGAGTGTACAACCACCTCTTAATTGCTATTGTTTCCAGGTCCACCCTAATCTGGGGTGGTAGAACCTGTTAGGGTCCCAGCTATTGGCAAATAGTGAACCCCTAAAAATTCACGGTTCATTTTTATAATAAAATGAGCAACAATATATTTTTTATAGCAAAATGACAACACTAAAAAATATAAAATTATATCTTTATGGTAAAATTAGCAACAATACATTTTATGATCTGCAAACTATATATCTAAAAGAAACATACCTTTACCCAGAAAGTAAAAAATTATGTACAAAATATGCGTAGCTACATGCAAAATATTTCGGTTTTGGCATTAAAATAACCTGTAGAGGTTGATATGCTGCTAAACAAAATCAACCAACCAAAAATACATATTTATAGTAAAATTACCAACAATATATATATATATATATATATATATATATATATATATATATATATATATATAAAATAAATTAACTGATTTAAATTTGTTTTTTTCGTTACTCAGTAATAACCATGTTTTAAAAATAGAAACTAAAACTTTAAATTTAATTATATAATCAAATTAAAAATATTAGTTCCGTTTCATCTTCAAGCGAATTTTGGAAAAACTTATTTTTAAATTTACTGAGTTTTTAACACACATAGGTTCATAATTTCCTGTTTCCAAGGATACAGAGAAATTCAATCATTTAGACAGGGGCTGTAGCGTGTTCATTTTTATTAACTATTGTTGTATCAATTATGAGTTACGTTCGAAAAAGAGGTTAAGTTTATGGAGGGTTGGGGTGTATTTTTCAACGAATTCTGACATCTGTTAAATGCATGTCGTCTGATTTTTTTTTATTAACGGCAAAAAGTTTTTCGGCATTTTTTTCCTTGTATACTCAAAGCTTTTTTTATATGGGTTTGTGTTAAGATATGTTTTATTAAACTACAATTTTAAAATATTTTTACTCTTAATTACTAATAGACTATATTTCTTTTTAAAAACAAGTAAATGTAATAGAATTACTTACATTATTTAAAATTATTTTTTCATATCAAATATAAGTATGTATATTACCAGCTCCCATTTTTCAATTTTATTTTTAAATTTATTTTTAAATTTATTTTGAAATATTATTTAAGGAAACATGGTTATTACTGAGTAGCGAAAAAACCATATCTTAAATCAGTTAATTTATAATATTTATGCTCTGTAAATTTACATTGAGCACTGTGATGTAAAAATAAAAATAAAAAATAACAAGAACACCGGATTATATATCTTACTGTTTTTTCTTTCTTTAAATATATATAAAAAAATAAAATTAGGGGTTTTTAGCTTCTATTTTTGAAACATGGTTGGAACTGTGTAGCGAAAATAACCATATTTTAAATCAATTAATTTATAATATATATATATATATATATATATATATATATATATATAAGCAAAATGATGAATAGTACATTTTGTCTGTAGTTGAAACCATAGAATTGTGTTGAAAATATGTAGATTTCAGCTTTAAATAATCCATAGCAGTTGATATGCTGCTAAACAAAATCAACCAATTTATGAGAGACAGGTATGGATTCCAGAACTTCTGGTTAAATTTCTACTCTGTGTAGGAGATAATCTAATTAAAAGAAATTTTGCACGAGTTCAAAGTCATCTCAACAAATAATTATTGAAAATGAGAAATTGATCTTTTCAGCTTAAAAAATAAAGTGGCTTTCATAGTTCCTTTCAAGAGAACACACTTTGCATTCCACTTTTTACTTTACCATTTCTTCATCAATTGCTAAACCACAACAAATGTGGATTATCCAATATTTTTCCCTTCTTCTTTTGATAACAGTTAACTGATGAAGATCATCTAAGAAATTCAGCATCACATGATATATTCTTATATTTAATGTGCAGCTTGTGAAAACATTTTGCTACTAAGGAGGAGGATATGAGTCGAATAAGAAGATATTAAGTGTCTGTAATTGTTTCAGAGAAAAAATTCCAGAAATAAAATATACTAAACTGAATTAGTGTATGACTCAGTACAACTTACTGCTGTAAATCATCAGTTCTTCTATATTTGATGCCAGAACATAGCCAATCATGGCTGTCCACAATTTCTTGTCCTTTGTATCTCTTAACAAGTTTTATTTTATTTTTTTATTTCTACTAATCCCTGTTTTGTCAATCATTTACGCAACCATTTTAGACATGTTACTTGATGTATTCCTCAATCCATCATACTTTTATTCGGTGAATATAAAATTTTCCAGACCCCACTTTTTATTATGATTTTTTTTTTTTTTTTCTTATTTTTCAAATTAATTCACCCCAAGAATTAATGAAAGTAAGACACTGACTCTGTTTCTTTTAAGGGGAGAGGGAATAGAAATTGCATTACAAAATTACAGGTGGAGGATATCATAGATTTATTGGACACCAAAAAAAAAAAGACTGTAATAAAATATACTAAACTGAACTAGTACAACTTACTGTTGTAAATCTTCAGTTCTTCTATATTTGGTGTCAGGACATGGCCAATCATGGCCCTCCACAATTTCTTGTCCTTTGTAGCTCTTAGCAAGTTTTATTTATTTATTTCTTTTTTGTTATTTCTGCTAATCCCAGTTCTGTTAATCATTTACACAACCATTTTTAGATATATTACTTGATGTATTCCTTAAGATATATTACTTGATGTATTCCTTAAGCCCTTATATATTACTTGATGTATTCCTTAAGCCCTTATATATTACTTGATGTATTCCTTAAGCCCTTATATATTACTTGATGTATTCCTTAAGCCCTCGTAATTTCATTTTTCTGTGATTATAAAATTTTCTAAACCCTCTTTATTATGCTCTTTTTTATAAACAACGCAACACTAAAAAGTATAAGAATACATTTTTATAGTAAAATTACCATAGAAATTAACCCATAGAAGTTGATATGTCGCTAAACAAAATCAACCAATTTATGAGAGACAGGTATAGGTTCCAGAACTTCTGGTTAAATTTTTACTCTGAGTAGAAGATAATCTAATTAAATGAAATTTTGCACGAGTTCGAAGTGGTCCAAACAAATAATTATTGAAAATGAGAAATTGATGTTTTCAGCTTAAAAATAAAGTGGCTTTCATAGTTCCTTTCAAGAGAACACACTTTGCGTCCCACTTTCTTCATCAGATGGCCAAACCACAACAGATGGATTTAACCATTTTGAACATTTTTATAGTCATGTATGTTGGATTGGGAAAGGAGTAATTATTTCAGGAATGGAGATATTGGAAAAATAAATTCGGGGTTCACATTTATATTTTGGTAAAATTCGATAGCGGCACTCTCGAGAATTTTCCTTCTAAGTAAGTCACTTTCTCTTTTAATATGTGTGACATCCTTTAGATCAAAGTTGTCGTTAAATTTATTTCTATGTATAACTAGCGTACTTGATAAATTGTTGTGTATAGAGTCCCTTTTGTGTTCATATATACGTTTTCTTAAATTTCTGCAAGTTTCCCCAATGTATTGTGAGGAGCATTTCTGGCATTTTGGTCGTTTGGGGACCTTGTGTCACGTGGTGCAAAGGACTCTGTATTCGGCCCTTCAAAAAGTGTGGTTGGTTCTGCATAAAGACTTCACCATTATAATCAAATCATATGTGCAGGTGTCTGGGTGTAGGTTCCTAGGAACTATGTTACTTGACACTCATACGTCAAAAAACGACAGGAGAATCCAGCATATATATATATATATATATATATATATATATATATATATATATATATATCCTTTAATCACTTCAGATAGGATATATATATATATATATATATATATATATATATATATATATCTGAAGTGATGGAGTAGATCATATAAACTTCAATAATTCAAATTTCCTAATATATATATATATATATATATATATATATATATATATATATATATATATATGTCTGTATGTGTGTGTGTGTGTGTGTGAAAATATATAGAAAATAGGAAGGAACTGGTTAGGTAAATAATCCAAAGTCCCGTAGTATTTTAGTTATTATTTTAAAAATAGTGCTCGATACAAAAGTAGAGCTTAAATATAATTATTTATTTAAAAATATGATTCCAAATCGCTACATAAGAGGTCTCATGTTTCAAAACAAGAGCCGAAAACTTCAATATAATCCTTTAAATTAAATTGAGTTGAAAGTAAAATGGGCTCCGTTCCATCTTCAAGCGAAATTTTTGTTGGAATAACGTATATCTGAAATTTACTTGTTTTAAAATTGAAATCAAAATCCCCATGGTAACAGCAAGGGCGAATTGTTTAAATTGGGTAGGCGAGTGTAGGGTGTTTATAATAAGTAGCGGTATAGAGATACTTTCAAGGTGTCAAGTCGGAGAAAGGTGGGGGTGTCAAAAATGAAACGGAAGATGTATTGGCCATCGTCTAGTTTACTTGTCTATGGAGATTTATTTATTTATTTTATTTCATTTTGTTATGAAAGGGAATTGTGCATATAAAAAAAGAAAAACTGCACATTATTAAACTTCTAAATAATAATAATCTATTAAATAATAGACACGAGTTAACGGTTTTTTGTAGGCATCATCAGATTTTTGGTTTGAATTATTAGATAAAAAAAATTTTTTATAACTTGTTTAACAAATAGCCCAATCATCAGATTCATACTAGGAATAATTAACTACAAACATGCATACAACATAACACACTTCATAATCCATAGCCTAAATTAGTTGTTTAAATACCTTACATATAATATAACCCTTTATGAAGTCGTCAAAAAACAAACGTTACGAAACCAATTTTAGACAATTCACCATAGCTGTTACCATGGGGATTTTGATTTCAATTTAAAACAAGTAAATTTCAGATATACGTTATTCCAACAAAAATTTCGCTTGAAGATGGAACGGAGCCCATTTTACTTTCAACTCAATTTAATTTAAAGGATTATATTGAAGTTTTCGGCTCTTGTTTTGAAACATGAGACCTCTTATGTAGCGATTTGGAATCATATTTTAAAATAAATAATTATATTTATGCTCTACTTTTGTATCGAGCACTATTTTTAAAAAATAATAACTAAAATACTAAGGGACTTTGGATTATTTACCTAACCAGTAATATATATATATATATATATATATATATATATATATATATATATATATATATAGGAATTGAGGAATCGGAGAGCCGAGTTCGAATTTCAATCCAATCTATTAGATTCTAATACCAATACATTTTTCCCCTAGCTATGGGTAAAATAGCAGGATAGACTGGGTTCTATAGCTTTGGATGGGAACTGGTCTTGGAGAAGGACAACTCTGAATTCTAAACCTGCAGAGGGTCGTTTGGGCACCTTGTCTCACGTAGTGCCCCAGGTCTCTGTATTCAGTCCTTTAAAAAGTGTAGTTAGTTCTGCACAAATCTTTCACTACTATAATGAAATCATATGTGCAGGTATCTGGCTGTCGGTTCCTTGGAACTGAGCTGTTTGACCGCCATATTTCAAATACGACAGAAGGAGCCGGCATGTTCCTCTTTCTATTTTTTAATATGTTAATCATTTATCACATTGTGTTCATGGCGGTCAGTCTATATCATCTCTCAATATATCAATCTCACTCATATCTAACAGTTTGTCAGCTATGACTCGTCAGTTAGTCGAAAGAACTATCCTATTTGTGACCCAGTACAAACTAGGAAATCGTAGGTTAATACTGAGGGCAGTTCAACCATTCTTACTTGGGGAGATTGGCGCTGCACGATGTCTTAAGCTTCACCTGAAATCTATTTTAATCTGTTTCCGATTTTCTATTCCTATCTGTATTGTCTATTTTTATCCAGTTCATAAATGTTTATCTATCTATCTATCTATCTATCTATCTATCTATCTATCTGTCACATTCTTTTCATATCTATCTATCTATCTATTTTTTCATATCTATCACATTCTTTTCATTTCTATCTCTCTATCTCAGTCTGTTTATATCTATTATATTTTTTTCATATCTATCTATCTATCTATCTATCTATCTATCTATCTATCTATCTATCTATCTATCTATCTATCTATCACAATCTTTTCATATCTATGTAACTATCGATCTATGTATTACATTCTTTTCATATCTATCTATCTATCTATCACATTCTTTTCATTTTCTCTCTCTCTCTCTCTATCTCGCATTCATTTCATATCTATCTATCTATCTATCTATCTATCTATCTATCTATCTATCTATCAATCATATTCTTTTCATTTTCTCTCTCTCTCTCTCTCTCTATATATATATATATATATATATCGCATTCATTTCATATCTATCTATCTATCATATTCTTTTCATTTTCTCTCTCTCTCTCTCTCTCTATATATATATATATATATATATATATATATCGCATTCATTTCATATCTATCTATCTATCTATCTATCTATCTATCTATCTATCACAATCTTTTCATATCTATCTATGTAACTATCGATCTATGTATTACATTCTTTTCATATTTATCTATGTATCACATTCTTTTCATTTTCTCTCTCTCTCTCTATCTCGCATTCATTTCATATCTATCTATCTATCTATCTATCTATCTATCTATCTATCTATCTATCTATCATATTCTTTTCATTTTCTCTCTCTCTCTCTCTATATATATATATATATATATCTCGCATTCATTTCATATCTATCTATCTATCATATTCTTTTCATTTTCTCTCTCTCTCTCTCTCTCTCTATATATATATATATATATATATATATATATATATATATATCGCATTCATTTCATATCTATCTATCTATCTATCTATCTATCTATCTATCTATCTATCTATCTATCTCACATTCTAGTGTGGACAATGTCTTCACTATTATCTTGTAATATAATTGAACTACAAAACCGCCTTTCACTGTAATCTAAATCCCCGTTTCCTCTTCCTCCCTCCACTTCCTAATAACCCAATGAAGCGAGTAGAAGATTGAAAAACATTAAAGCCTTTGAACGCATTTGATATTCAGCCGATTTCAATTCTCCTAACAACAACCCCTAACCACTGAAATCCCGACAATCGCATTATTCCATAATTTGGCTTGAGTACCCTTAGTTGTTATCTCCTCAGATGACGCGATTGTCCAATTGTATAAATATCACTCAAATTGTTTAGATCAGCCTGTTTAGGATAGAAGCCGAAAACACACATACAAGGAAAAAATAAGTTTAGTTGTTTTTCTTTAGCGGATATCAACACCTCTATGGGTTAGTTAATCTCGAAATCTAAATATTTTTGTACGCAATTTTATTTTACTTTGGTTTAGTGGGACAAGTCTTACTAATTAACCCATAGCTAGAGGAGAAGAGGCGGATAAATATCTTTCCAAAGCGTATTTGCGCGGAAGTGAATATAACGAATCGAACGGGGATTTGAACTCTGCTCTCCGATTAACAATTGCATTGCACCACCGGCCACATCTAAGCTTACAGAATCTGGTATTCCCAAGCGGTCACCCATCTAAATATTGACCAAGCTCGACGTTGCTTAACTTCTGCGATCGTACGGGGGACCGGAGTGTCAACGTGATGTGGCCGTTAGCCGGAAAAAAATTAAGAATGGTGACAGTGAGAATAACCATTACCATTATTAATAACCGGAAACTGTCGGCATTCATTAACCGAACGGTTCGCACTATTGGCGGTTAAAATTTATAAAATCTTTTATTATTATTATTATTATTATTATTATTATTATTATTATATTAATATCATTTTGTTTATCTCTTAGTAGACTAAAAGTCTGTGAACAAAGCATATTTGTCATTTCTTTTTATTTTCAGCTATTCTGTTTGATGCATGTTTAGTGTTATTATATCATGGATATAATAATGCCCTAAATGGGGGAAACTTAAATGGGAGAATAAATCTTTCTACCATAGCTTTCTCCCGTTATAGCATTATTGCACCAGGACAATTTTTTTAAGCATCCAACCCCAAGCAAGGCGGGAAGCCCCTAGCACGCAAGGGGTTACAGAGAGTTGGAGCGAGAGCAAAGAGGAATGATAGAGGAAAGGATGAAGAGAAGGATAGGGGATAGATCAAGGCATCTGAAGACCTCGATTGACATTACTTTTGAATAGTTGGAGATTATAGCTATCAGTAAAACAAGAAATAGGGAGGGAGTTCCACAGGCGAGAGGTGTGAGACATGAAGCTATTGGAGTAGAAGAGACGGCTACATTTAACAGTTTCGACAGTGAAAGTGTGTGAGCGAGATGCTAGCCTAGTTGAATGCTTAAATTCACGAAGTGTGGGAACCAGCGAAAGCAGCTCATCGGAGCAGTTACCATGAAAGTATTTGTTTAAAAACACAGAGTGAGGCGACGGCACATCTGTGAGAGAGCGACTGCAGACGAGATGCCAGATCAGGGCCAATAACATTGCATATCCGTCTTTGGCTTTAATCAATGACCTTGAGACAATTAGAAGGAGCTCCAGACCATATATGGCATCAATACTCAATGCAAGGGCGAATGGTTGATTTGTAGATTTGAAAGATCTACTCCGGCGAGAAAAAATTCCTGATTCGGCATAGGGAACCAACTTTCCTAGCCGTAGACGAAGCTATTGACTCAATGTATTCGTTCCATCTTCGGTCAGTGGACAATGTGAGACTGAGCAGTCGCAAAGAGGTGCTCCCGTGGAGTTGAGCGTCAGACATTCTAATGCGGGTGGTGGGGGCAGGGATGGTTCTCTCTGGTGAGTAATAGAGAGCAGTTTGAGGATTGCTAACAAGAGGAACAGCCCAGGATTCGAACTACAAATTGGAAATTCAAACGAGTCGAGAAGTTTAAATATCTGGGAAATGTTTTAACAAACGATCGAAAAAGTGACACCAAAATTTTAATCGCACAGTTGAATATTAAAAATCCCTACAAAAAAATTAAACAGAATATTAAGAAACAAAAAAAAAAAAAATAAGGAAAGTGCTGAGCTGTTATGTGATATCAATCCTTCTGTATGACAGTGAATGCAGGACAATCAGAACTGAGGAAGAGATTTTAATAAAATTGTATAAAATTACAAATTTAATGGCATAATAAATAAAAGTGCCGAAAAAACATTTTATTATTATTAAAGACAGTTTTTCAGGAAAATAAGTTCATCAAGTCCACTATCTGTTACAGCTCGTTCTAGCCCCTAATGTCCAGAAGAGTTGCAGAAGATTCCGAAGTCGTCTGAAAGCCGTGGTTGAAGCCAGTGGCAATTTTATTGGATAGATTTTACTTTTTAGTATATAAAGATATTTATTGTGTAATTCTGGTAAATATATCTGTTAAAATGAGAGGTCAGTGTTATTTTCATTTTTTTTTTTTTTTTTTGCATCATTTAGGCGACAATTTATCCATCGCACCCTGTATATCTGTTAAAATGAGAGGTCAGTGTTATTTTCAGTTTTGCATCGTTTAGGCGACAATTTACTCATCGCACCCTGTATCTCTGTTAAAATGAGAGGCCAGTGTTATTTTCATTTTTTTTTTTTTGCATCATTTAGGCGACAATTTATCCATCGCACCCTGTATATCTGTTAAAATGAGAGGTCAATGTTATTTTCAGTTTTGCATCGTTTAGGCGACAATTTACTCATCGCACCCTGTATGTCTGTTAAAATGAGAGGCCAGTGTTATTTTCAGTTTTGCGTAATTTAGACGACAATTTATCCCTCGCACCCTGTATATATGCATATGGGTCAAGGACAAAACTTGCCCAATTCCCTCGACCACTGTTACGCTGGCGTTTGATATTACACGACCCGACCTATCTTAGTGCAATGAGGAAGGTGCTGCCGTAGGGCTGGAATCCCCGGCACCCTCTCCCATTTAAAATGAGGCGAACATTTTATTCCACTTTTTGGCTAAAAGCGAACTCCTTTGACAGGTAAGATTAGATGGCAGGTAAGTTTAGATGACACACTTGACATTTCTGTATGAGTGATGCTATGTATGAAATATCGACGTGTAACAAAAATACATCCCGCATTTCAAAAGCTGACAAATAGACCGAGATAAATGTTATTAAAAAGTTATTTTACTGTTGTTTAAACAAAGGACTACAGTTGTTATTCATTTTATTTTAAAGACGACATTCTCTAAATTGTGGCTTATATTCGCCATACAATGTTGAAGACGATTTCAAAAGGTTACCATCACCCTAAATGTCAAGAGCTTCGAGGTCTTCCGGTTGGTATTCTGTTGAGCTCTGAATTTTCAACCCATAGCAATGTCGAGATTTCCTATCTGGAACAGCATCATTACGGCGTACCATGAAATGAGCACGAAAAACTCTCTGTATTGCAATAACACATTCACGAGTCTTTAAAAAAACCCGTTTCAAATGCACGGTTTCCCTCACCCTGAAGTTTGAGCACTTCCAGGTTTTCCAGCTGGCATTCTCTCATGCACTGAACCTGTGGCCTTGGAATTTTCAACCTATAACAGTATGGATTTTATATCCAGAGCCGCCTCATTCCGACGTAACATGAAATAAGCACGAAAACCTTCACCAGTCTTACAAAAAACGTTTCAACAGCAAATGCACGGTGCACACCGGTCGAAGCCATGATGGTAACTGTTTCTATCTCTCAACAAAATGGAAAGACATTAGATAGATAAAGACATTATTGCCACTTGCCTAAGTTTATTAGAACCACACAGACGGCAGGTTAAAATATAGGAGATACTTCTGCCGCAGCTTGTATAAAAGTCTAAATCTGAGTAGGCTATTGAAGAACACGGCTCGAGTTCTCCGGACAATGTTTTATTTTTATAACATTTTATGGTGTTGGAGTAAACTATCCCTATCACAGCATCTTCCAGGTTCAATTTCTTTATCTCCAATTCTAAATATGTTATAACTGATCCATATACCAACGTATTTGAAGTTTTTAAAGTTTGTTAATTTCATTTACGGTGACAGGTAAATTTAGATGACAGGTATGTTTAGATGACACGCTTGACATTTCTGAATGAGAGTAATGCTATGTATAAGATATACAGGGTGTGGCAGAAAAACATCCCGCATTTTAAATGCTGACAAATAGACCGAGATAACTTATTAAAAAAAGTTATTTTACTGTTGTTTAAACAAAGGACTACAGTTGTTATTCAGTTCATTTTAAAGACGACATTCTCAAAATTGTAACTTATATTCGCCACACACTGTTAAAGACGATTTCAAAAGGTTCCCATCACCCAGAAGTTTGAGTCCTTCAAGGTCTTCCCATGGCTTTACTTTCAAGCGCTGTACAAGTTATGGGCCACTGATATCACTGGTCTCATTCTAATACCAGATCATAATATTTGTTATGGAAAAATTTATTAAAAAATTTATTTGCTTAAAAAATGTCCAACAGTGTAGAACTTTTTTTAAAGCATTTCACCCAACCAAGGCGGGGGTGCCACTATCACACAAGGGGTGACAGAGAGTGGGTAAAGCGCGGTGTTTGAGGAAAGGATAAAGAGAAAGACGGGGATCAGGATCGAGGCATCAGAAAATGCCGATTGACATTACATTTGAATATTTGAAGATTATAGCTATCGGGGAAGCAAGTAAGAGGAAGGGAGTTTCACAGTTGGGAAGTGCGTGAGAAGAAGCTGTTGGAGTAGAAGAGACGGCTACATTTAACCGTTTCGACAGTGAAAGGTTGGGACCGAGATGCCAGCCTAGTAGCACGTTTAAATTCATGCAGTTTGGGTACCAGTGAAAGTAGCTCATCAGAGTAGTTAACATGAAAACATTTGTAGAAAAGACAAAGAGAAGCCACATTACGTCTGTGAGAACGTGACTATAGACGAGATGCCAGATCAGGACCTATGAAATTGCATCTGGATATCGTCGAGCGGGGGTATCAGATCGTATATGGTAGCAATATTCAATGCAAGGACCAAAGATTGATTTGTAGATCTGAAGGATGGACTCCATTGGCACTTGCCTAAGTTCACAAGCGCCACAAAGCTGTATTTCTTAGTTCCACCAGTTCAGACCTTCACAGCTAAGCCTGTCTCTTCTCTATCGCTATTTCCATAGCAAATGTTCAAATGAGCGACGTTTCTTAGTTCCACCAGTTCAGACCTTTACAGCTAAGCCTGTCTCTTCTCTATCGCTATTTCCATAGCAAATGTTCAAACGAGCGACGTTTCTTAGTTCCACCAGTTCAGACCTTCACAGCTAAGCCTGTCTCTTCTCTATCGCTATTTCCATAGCAAATGTTCAAACGAGCGACGTTTCTTAGTTCCACCAGTTCAGACCTTCCCAGCTAAGCCTGTCTCTTCTCTATCGCTATTTCCATAGCAAATGTTCAAATGAGCGACGTTTCTTAGTTCACCAGTTCAGACCTTTACAGCTAAGCCTGTCTCTTCTCTATCGCTATTTCCATAGCAAATGTTCAAATGAGCGACGTTCCTTAGTTCCACCAGTTCAGACCTTCACAGCTAAGCCTGTCTCTTCTCTATCGCTATTTCCATAGCAAATGTTCAAACGAGCGACGTTTCTTAGTTCCACCAGTTTCTTCACAGCGAAGCCTGTCTCTTCTCTATCGC